CGGCCTGGCAGGGTGTGGAGTGGAGGGCGCATCCGAGGCTCCCCGGGCTCCCTGGGGATGGGCTCCCTTTTGGGAGGCCGAGGCGGGAGGATCGCTTGAGGCCGGGAGTTCGAGACCAGCCTGGGCACCAGAGCGAGCCCGTGTCTCCCCATTTGCTAAATGAGCCGGGCATGATGGGGCTCGGCTGCGGTCTCAGCTACTCAGGGGGATGATAGAGGAGGATCGCTGGAGGCCGGGAGTTCGAGATCAGCCCGGACAACATAGTGAGACCCTGTCGCTACCAAAAAAAATTTTTTCAGTTAGCCAGGCCTGTAGTCCCAGCTACTCAGGAGGCTGAGGTGGGAGGATCTCCGGAGCCCAGGAGATCCAGGCTGCCGTGAGCCATGATGGCACCACTGCACCCCAGCCTGGGTAACAGTGATACTCTGCTTCTTAAAAAAAAAGAAAAGAAAAGAAAAGAAGAAGAAAAAGCATGGTCTCCCCAGCCATGGCCTCAAAAGAATGCTTTGGAAGGATAGAGGGTGAACATGTTTGGAGAAAGGAGACCGGGTCCTCACCAGCGTTCTCACCCCTCCCAGACTCAGCTCAAGGCACAGAACAGCAGGATCCAGCAGCTGTTCCAGAAGGTGGCCCAGCAGCAGCGGCACTTGGAGAAGCAGCACTTGCGAATCCAGACCCTGCAAAGCCAGGTGCCCCAGGCCTGTCCCCAGAGGAGAGGGAGGTCGCCATCTGTGTTCAAATGCAGACCCCCCCACAGGGCATCAGCTTGTGCCCCCCCGAGACTGACCTCCCCCTCCTGTCCCGGCCCAGGTCGGCCTCCTGGCCCCCGCACACCTGACCAAGCCTGCCCGAAAGAAGAGGCTGCCCAAGATGTCCCAGCTGGGCGGCCCAGCTCACAATGCCAGCCGCCTGCACCGTGAGTGTCCAGCCCCTCTCTGTCCTCTGGTCTGGGGTCTCTGTGAGCTCACGGGTCTCGGGTAGAGGGCAGGTGGGGGCACCTCCCTCCTCAGCCCTGGTCCTGTCCCCCAGCCAGGCCACCCCACTCTTTTTCCTGGCATGCTGGTGGGCTGTCTCCAGGCCCTGCAGGCTGCTCCCTGGAGCAGAGACCAGGAGGGCCTTGAGCTTCAAGGCTTCTGGAGAGGCCATGATGTCCTCCTGGAGGTTAGAACCTTCCAGCGGGGTGTGATAGATAACAGGCTACCAGGTAGGGAGTTCTAAGATTTGGCCCCCAGGGTTTCTTGGGATGTGGATTTAGAAGGAGAAAATAGGGCGGGACCCCCAGCTCCCAAGCCTTCTGGCCTCTCTCCCTCCCTAGCCTCTTGTCGTCCTCTTCCCAGCCCCCTACAGAAAGTGGGTATGGCTTTTATTCCGGAACCTTCTTTAGGCCCAAACCACAGTCTGTCCGTGTGTCTGTCTACGAATTCCCACTCCGGGCTCCAGCCTCACAGCCGGCTTCCCTCCTCCCCTGCATTTGTGGCCTCTACAGCCAACTGGGTGAAAGTTCGGATTCCCCCCCAACAGCCTGGGGTCAGGGACCCAAGTCCAGCCCTGCAGTGCTCGGGGCTGTTCCTCCCCAGGCTCCTCCCGCCCCCCCTCCCCCCTGCCGGTGTCTCTGCCTGGCAGGGGGCCATCCCGGGATGAGGGGCTTCTGGGTCGGGCTGCAGAGGATTGGCTGAGAGTGCGGGGGAGGTGGGGGAGACAGGCTCTGTGGTTTTGGGACTCCCAGACTCCATGCTGAGCCCCGCCAAGTAGGGAAAGGTTCAGAGCTGGGGAGACAAACAGCTGGCGCTCATTGAAGCCTCGTTGGTGGTTTGGCTGCGTGCCCGTCCTGATTGGCTGGGGGGAAAAGTAGGGGAAAGGGGAGATGCCCGAGGGCCGGAAAGTGTCCTCCCATCACTCAGGCCCGCCCTCGTCCCCAGCCTGCCTGCCGACTCACTTCGACCTTTCCCCTACTTTCCTGGCCGGGCTGGGGGCGGTTCTTCCCGAGTCTGACTCGGGCTTGCCCCAAGAAGACACCTCCCTCCCTTCTCCTTTGGTCCTGCCCCCTCTCTGATAGCTGGGGCCCTGGGCAGAGCCTCTGTCCCCCTCCAGGCCCCGCCAGCATCCCCCGCTGCATACCCCAGAGCCCCCCCTGTTCAGGTCAGCCCTGGGACCCCCCGCCATTCATTTGTTCATCAGATCTTTATAGAGCACCGCTGTGGGCTGGGATCTGCGGGATGCTGGGGCCAGACTGTGGTCACAGTGGCTCTGTGTCCCTGGCTTCACAGAGGCCCCAGTCAGTGGGGAAAGCAGGGGAGAGACCACCGGATGGCCCCAGTGTTGTGGAGTGGGATGTCCTTCAACCCCATTTGGGGACATCTGGCCTGGTCTGAGGGTGAAGGAAGGTTAAAGCTTCCTTCCAGAAGAATGAGAGTTGCGAGGGAACAGAGTCCTAGGCATGTGCAAAGTCTCTGTGGCAGGAGGGCTTGTGATACGAGAGAGAAGGAAGCCTGTATGGCAGAGAGGGTAGGGTGCAGTAAGGGAGGAGGGAGGATGGGCACAGGGCCTGGCCCTGGGGTACCTTGTAGACCATGCCGAGGAAGGCCATAGGGAGCCATGGAAGAGTTTAGGCAGATGGGGGGGGGGAGACGCAGTCATGAAATCAGGATCACCCTTCACCTTCCTGTCATCTGCTGCCCAGCCCCCAGACATGCCTGTCTCCTGACTCCCCAGAGGCTGTTCTCCTGTTTCACCTCCCCCCTTTGCCCACCTGCAGGGCTGCCCCGGGACTGCCAGGAGCTGTTCCAGGATGGGGAGAGGCAGAGTGGACTGTTCCAGATCCAGCCTCAGGGGTCCCCACCGTTCCTGGTCAACTGCAAGATGACCTCAGGTAGGTGAGCTGACCTGCCGGGAAGGCCTCTGCCTTGGGCCCTGCTGTCTTTCTTTATAATTTTTTTTTATCCAATACATTTATTTTTAGAGACAGAGTTTTGCTATTTTGCCCAGCCGGACTTGAATTCCTGGACTCGGGCGATCCTCCTGCCTCAGCCTCCCTAGTAGCTGAGACTACAGGTGCCTACCACTGCGCCCGGTCATTTCTTTAAAATGCAGCTTTTAGCTGGGCTCGGTGGCTCAGCCTGTAATCCTGCACCTTGGGAGGCTGAGGTGAGTGGATTGCCTGAGCCCGTGGGTTCGAGACCCACCTGGGCAACTGGGCAAGACCTCATCTCTACAATAAATCAAAAAATTAGCCGGGCGTGGTAGCGTGCGCCTGTAGTTCCAGCTGCTTGGAAGGCTGAGGCAGAAGGATCGTCGGAGCCCAGCGGGTCGAGGCTGCGGTGGCTGGGAGCGGCCACTGCACTCCAGTCTGGG